GAGGGCAGCACAAACGGCGGCGGCATTATGTCCACAATGAAAGGGGTTAGAGACTTATTCTTTAAAAAACAAAACTAGGAATTTAGGGAACCTGAAAAACAGTAGAAAATTGTAACACTATAACAATATCCAATTGATTTTTTCGTTCTCCAGTGGCAGTGGAGAAAGGCCTCTGTGGGGCCTTGGGCTAGGGAAAATGGCACTGATGTGAGTGGTACTGGGAAGATCCAGAGTTTCCTATCTGCAATGGTGCCCTCCCCAGCTTTGCTACAACTTTTCCTAAAGCATCACAGCAAAGCAAGTTTGGGAAAGACTGCAAGAAAGAGGGGGGAAACTTGGGAGGTGTACAGAAGCACCATCATACTGTGGGGAAGCAAGAAAATAACATGCCTCACAACAGCATCTAAGTCAAGACAAACAATCTGTGTGTTAAGTAACCATAATAATGCCACAAGATGACAAAATAAAATAATTTATATGTTCAAGAATAGCGGTTATTGGGCACCACTCTCAGATAATTATTCTGAAGATTTTAGCATTTTTGTGATACCTCTAGCAAGTGTTATTTATTCGATGAGTAATTATATACCTACTGCCAAAGATCTCCTACAGAAGCACAAATTCAGCAGTTTGCTGAAATATGCAAAAAAAAATCCTGAAGTAATTTCATAGGCTTTCATCAGCAATTGTAATGAATGTTGGTTACAAAGGCCATTAAAATTAAATTCACCTTAAACACAATTAGGACACAAAAAAGCAAAAGTAATTATTAAAACAGTAGAAAACTAAAACTGAATTCAGAGGCATGTCTTTACAAAGGTAGTTCTCTGCAATCTTTAGTAAATCTACATATTTGCTTTTTTTCTCACAACAGAGATTCTCCATGTGGACAAGCAGATCTACACGCAGCATATGCTGGGGAATTAAGTGCCCACATAAACTTTTTCTAAGTATGTTTTCCCCTGCAACTGGCAGCGTCTTGCATCAGTAAAGGCAAAAAGTTTGCCTGAAAAACAACTTGTAAGTGTTAAATGTTATACATATATAATTTACAACACAAAGATCCCAAATTAAGAGTGTAACATACTTATGTTCTAAAACAGAGAATGGCAGCTCAACAAAAAGAAAGTCAACATCATTATGTTTCCACTTTGAAACCACAACAAAGAACATTCTATTCTCTGCATGTACACAAGCCTCATCCACAGATTTACTGTATCAACACTCAGACTGACTTAGGCCACAAATTCAAGCAGAACTATAAGGTACAACTTTATATTAGGAAAACTGTTATATCTTGGATGTATTTTCAAGCAATACATTTTATTCTTGATTTGATTAAGCAAATTCACTACATTCCATAAAGATCACTAAAAAATACAGTCCCCTGTAATCCTGGAGCCAAGTGAGCATGCTTGTATCCCTACTTAAGAAAATAGACTAACAATACATTACTAGATCCCAGATTGTACTCAGAAGGGCTGTATTACACACATATGTATCACTGCAAATGTTTTATTTGTATGTAAACACTTAATTCTTCTGTCAAAACAAAAACTATAAATATTTTTGTTTCAAAACAGCATTTCAGATATGAAAAAATTCTCATTCCTCTTCTTACAAAGTCCCAAACTTTAGTTCTGTTCCTCCCCCCATGATTTCACCTCCCTCTCAAAACACATCCTACTTCAAAATCCCTCCACCCCTATACAGATACCTAAACTGGGGGTGGGTGGGTCAGCAGTCATTTTGTCCTTTTAATGAACTACAGTGGTCTTCCACTTCCAACCTAGGCCAGGATGTGCCAAAAGAAAGTGCTCAAGGCAGTAGAAAAGGAGGTGGAGAAGAGGAAGAAGATACCAGGTCCTGATTTTTTAAAAAAGTTGAGTGTAACAGGCGGCGCAAAGAGGCTTCTCTTTCTCCCTCTCAGCCCAACAGAAGCCTCACACCAGTACAGAAAGATGTTTCCCTGCACTCTCTGTACTCATTTTGATGTGACAACAGCTCTCAATAGAACCATATCCCTAGGGTGAGAACTGTACTATGACGGAAAAGTACCATAGGAAAACAAACATACAGAACTCTTAATTTATAACACCAGTAAAGAAGAGATATGAGTGATCATAACATCTCAATCTACTGGAAAGTGACTTGAAAAAATTATATGCACAAACAATGCTCCCTCTAAGCTGTGGAGTCTTGTGAGCAAAAATGCATCTTTGTGAGCTACTGGAACTAAAGTTGTGAGTGAGTGATTTGGCTGCTGCATAAATTAGTTTGCTCTGGAGCCCTCCTTCCTGAGCTAAGACAAAAATGTGTGAGCCGGAGGCTAAAAACTGTGAGCTAGCTCACACTAACTCAGCTTAGAGGGAACACTGTGCACAAAGTATATATAATGATATATAACAGAATCAAGAACTCAAAAACTTTTTCCTAATTTCTAAATGCTCCTTACTTGACACAAAGATGATAGTGTCCAGATCACACTCAAAGTTTTAGTTATTGTTTTATTTAAAATAATGCATAGGATCACATAAACTGTACAATAGCAATACACATTCTTTGGTGCAAGCTGTAATAAATGGGAAAGTGAACGTATTCATATCAAATAGCACCATCTAGCAGTTCCCCTAACTTCACTTCAGAGGATACCTATTACTTGGTGAGCTGAATTGTCTTCTGTTTAAAAAGACATTATTTATATCACACACAAACTTACAACAAATTGGTTCAGCCAGAAGCAGAAGCTGGGGAAAAGAAAAACTATACACAGCAACAAGCACACATGATAAAAACACCCAAACCCACCATATTTCTACAGAAAGATTCAACAAAGGCCTTTTAAATATATATTTGCTCCCACTCATTCTATCTAGCAACACAGACTTCACACAGAAGTTTAGGAACAGACAACAGCTAAACAAAGAAATAATAAAAAATACAAAACCAACTTATAACTTCAGTCAATATATATAAGATTCAGTTATGTACAGCGAAAAGTTTCTTTCAAATGCTTTGTTTGAAATGATTCAATGTTTTAAAAATTGTAAGTTGCTCACTAATTTCTGTTCTAAATTTTAGTCAGACTATTAGCTTTTGTGTCTCCTCCCTTGAACTCTTCCCTTGCATAAGGTTAGGCATACACTGATCAAACAACTGACAACAGATTTAAGGTTCTGGCCTACTCTTTGTCTTTGGAATCAGGAAGTAATGCTCTCCAAAATGCTGAAGCAAGGAAACCCTTTAGGTGAAGGTTCACAGCAAACTGCCTCAAGGGAAATATATCAGCATGGTTAACATATTCATTCTCATGTTGAGTGAAGTTCTAAGCATTAAGCACAATGGCATCTTAGAAGAAAATTTGCGGTTGGCAGTCCATGACCCCACACACCTTGTCCTAAACCTGGGCAGATGACTAGTACAGTAAGACAGAAATGAGTGCAGTGAGACAGAAAACGGTGCTTACTTTTTTCACCTTCCCCAGGAATATCAGATCAGAAATACCCTTCTTCACAACCACTTCATCCCTGTGTTCTACAACATCAATGAGGCACACTGTAGCTGCATTTACAGCATGAAGTGAAAGCTATTTCAGAAATCCAGCTTCAGCAATGCCTCAGGATTAAAACTTCAAAAACCACATCTCCATATTTTTGTGTATTTTAACTTGTTGACACTGTTTTCGGATTGAATCACTTGGTCCAATTCTTTTGTTTAAAAATGCTCTTACAAACTGGAGAGAACAAGACCTCTTACAATTAAGAGCCCAGCATGTATAAAAGGATTAAAATATGGTTTGCTATTTTGCATACTAGGTAAATATGGAATGAACTTTATCTACAACAAACTTTCCCCACTTTTGAAATAAGTTTTAGTGCTTCCAAAACAGGTGAATCAGAACATTACAAGAGAATACAGTCTTCTGTAGGTCAGGATCTCTCTTCACTCAGAATAATAATTACAGGCTCAAGTACAGAAGCACCAGTCCACCACTACGCTGACCCCCCCCCCAAGATAATCTGCCATTCCTCTTGTTACAAAGTCCCAAACTTTAGTTCTGTTCCTCCCCCTACACACTACGATTTCACCTCCCTCTCAAAATAAGTCCTACTTCAAAATCCCTCCACCCCATACAGATACCTAAACTGGGGGGGGTAGCAGTCATTTTGTCCTTTAAATGAACTACAACGGTCTTCCACTTCCAACCTAGGCCAGGATGTGCCAAAAGAAAGTGCTCAAGGCAGTAGAAAAGGAGGTGGAGAAGAGGAAGAAGATACCAGGTCCTGATTTTTTAAAAAAGTTGAGTGTCGCGGAGTTAACAGGCGGCGCAAAGAGGCTTCTCTTTCTCCCTCTCTCCCCAGCGGAAGCCTCACACCAGTACAGCCCATACTCTTTTGTTACCAAAGTTACTCCAACACCATCTCCTCCTCACCTCTCAAACCGACACTACGACCCTTCGTGGGAAAGAAGGCGAGGGGGGGGGGGAGAAAACCCGCGCCAAGCAAAGAAGCTCTGGAGCCTAAACACTAACCCGACCCCAAAGCTTCGCCCTGGCATGAGGCACCCACAGCCCGGTCGAACCACTTTCCCCTCTCCAACCGAGCTACAGCCTTCCGTCGCCCTCCCGGGTTTACGAGGGGCTGAGGCACCTCCTGTCCCGTCCCCGGCCAACGCGGAAAGCGCACCAGACACCCCGGCCCCACCCCCCTCGAAAGGGACTCAGCTACCCCCTACCACTGCCAGAACGGGAGGGTCTCGCGCGCTTCACTTTTACTACACACACAAGCACGCGCGCGCACAGACAGACACAAACATGCCCTCCTTCCCTACCCCCCGACTTGTGGTGGTGGTCCCCCCCTCCCCACTCCTTCCCGCGCCACGGCTGAGCTCCCCGAGCGCGTGCGTGGCCCCCTCTGCCACAAGCGGGAAAGTTACTTTGTGCAGGGCGTATGCGCGCCCCCCGCCCAGTTAGGCTGTGCGGTCCGGCGGGCTGTACTCACTTCTCCCTGGCCTGGCTGTCGGACGGGACGCTGCTGTTGCTCTTGCCTTTGCCGTACATGCCTGCAGAGAGCTCCGACTGTCACGCACCTGTCAACCCATCACAGCCTCCCCAGGAACAGCCCAGTCACCATGGAGACGCCGCCACACACACGCGCCATTGGCCCGCTGCGCGCTCGGACACACCTCCCGCGCCGTGATTGACAGGCGGAGACCAGGACAGGCTGCTCTCTCCTCCTCTCCGCTGGCTCCCTCCCCCCACCAGCCTCCGGCTCCTCCCGCTCTCCCTTCCCCGGCGCAAGGGGGAATTAGAAACGGTTCTAGAAGGATTTTAAACAACTGGCTGTTCCGTGCACTTGCCGTGCCGCCCTCCGCCGCTGCCAGAGACAGAGACTGCTGAGGAGAGACGGAAACTGCGGACTGGATTCCACAGCCAGGCAGAGCAACGCAGGGCGACCGAAGCGCTTTCAAGAGCCACGCCGCCTGCCCCTCTTCCCAGTCGCCCCCTCGCCTCGCTAAACTCGAAAGATTCCGCTGTCCCCGTTTATTCAGCACAGAAACGCCACCCGTCTCTTCCCGCCCACCCGCGTAAATGTTAGTTTCGGCCTCTCTGCTTATGGATATCCCACGTGTGACACGAACACGCCACTGTCCCATTCTCACGCTCACGCAAACACAGAGCTAACGGCACGCGATGCCCCTGTTAAAATTTTCATCCCCCAAAGGCAGCAGCAGAAGCATCCTGATCCACACACTAGTCAACAGCGGAGGCTACCTCAGGCTCCAAGCACAGAGGTTGGCACAATTAGTTTCAAAACCCAGTTTCCACCAGCAGAACATAAATGTGTTGCTGCCACAATAAACCCTTTTCAGACAGTTGTTACATTTTACCACGGTGGAATTCTTCTGATACACAGGCTCACCATTTTGTCTGAAAGGAGCAACAGGGCCTCAGCACACATAGCAGAACCCATGTGTGTTGGGACTGCGTTCTCCACATAGCCATGGTAAAATGTAACAACTGAAATGAGCTGGGGAAAAACAGTACATGTGTACTGAGACTGAAAATACATACTCTGCCCCTTTCCAATAAAATGGTGATCATACAACAGATGATCTTTCCAATACACATGATAATACATGATGACTGAAAAGAGGTATAGTCCTAGATACATGTTTCCTAGTCCCTAGTCCTGATTAACTATCATCATCATGAGCAATGGCTGTATAGCTTCCCTAGCAAATCTACACAAACCTGTTTGTTTTAATTTAGACCACAATAGGGTTGCCAGGTCTGGGTTGGAAAATACCTGGAGACTTTGGGGGTGGATCCAGGAGAGGGCGGGGTTTGAGGAGGGGAGGGGCCTCAGCATGGTACAATGCCATAGAATCCACCCTTCAAAGCAGCCATTTTCTCTAGGGGAACTGATCTCTGTCAGCTGGGAATCAGTTGTAAAAGTGGGAGATCTCCAGGCCCCACCTGGAAGCTGGCAACCCTGGACCACAAACAATTTTTCATATCCATGAGCTGTATTATGTCCCACAAACTGCAGATGGTAATGAGCTAGGGATATCAACTTAGGGCAGTGCTCCCACTCATCAACACAGGAAACCCGCAGCAGTCTGGAGCCACAGTAGGGTCTTGCACTGCCCATTGCCCATCAGTTATATTCTGCTAAGGATGTGAATTGCTCCACTCAATGGAGGGAACATTGACTCAGGGCTGGAAAAATTCTTGGAGATTTGCGGGCGGAGACTGGAAAGGGCAGGATTTGAGAAGGGGAGGACCTCTCTGGGGTATAATATGATACAGCCCATCCTTCAAAGCAGGACAATAGGTCTTTGTTGTCTGGAGATCAGTTATAATTCCAGATGATCTCAAGGCCCAACTGGCAACCCTAAATCAGCCCCATCATCATGAAGATTCAGACTCACTGATCCTGGTATGGATGACCCACCTAAAACCTACCCACTTTCACTCCTGCATGAATGCATCAAACATCAGTACATCCTGGTCTCATAGAAATGATAAAATAGATCTTGGGACACAGATTCTCTGGAATTCAGGTGATTGTAATACAAAGACTCCATATATGCACCCCATATATCCAGCGTTAGGGTTTCCTGCAGGAGCGCACCAGAGCAGAGCTCCGGCAGTAAGGAGCCCACAGGGCAGGCACATGCAACAAGCCCCACCCCCTGCTCCCAGCAGCCCTCAGCTGGGCCACAAGGAGCAAGAAGCAGCCAGGTAAGTTGCAGAGCCCCCCCGGCCCCCCTTCAGGTACAAGCTCTCCCTCCTCTGTGAGGGCAGATCTGTGCGTTCCCCCCCCCCCATAGCTAGCAATCCAAAACAGTCCAGTGGAGCCTGAGCGGTGGGTGTTGCCTTCTGACACACTTCCGGTGATGTCAGTGGGTGTGGCATATGCAAATAAATTATGCTAATAAGTTATGTTAATGAGCTCCTGCACCTCTTTTTCTACAAAATGGCCCCTGCATATATCCACACATTTCACATCCATCACCGCTGAATAAATCAGTAAAATCAGACCCAGAGCATCCTGGTGCTACATGGATGCAAGCCTCCAGTCCAGCATATGAATCTTTATGGTGTTTACATGCAGACTCTGCAAGATCACATATTTCTCTGCTGCCAAAAGTCTTGGTTTTTCTAACACCGGTGTGACACAGAACCAACATGCACAGCACAGAACTTCCTGGATCTACAGTATGACATTTACAATGTAACCAGAATTGCTTCCTTTAAGGTATCCTCAAAATAATGATGAGTAGAAGGTCCTTTGCTGAACCAGTTGGTTCCAGATGGCTGCTTTGGAAGGTGGACTGAATGAAAGCCTTTGTGATGGAGATTCCTCCCTTCCCTAAACCCCCTCTTTCCTAGGCTCCAATCTTGAGGTATTTCCAAAACCAGGTTTGGCAACCATATGGCCTAGTAATGGGACACAAGTTAGAAATTGCTTTGGAAGGTGGACTGAATGGCATTAAACCCTATGGAGATTCCTCCCTTCCCTAAACCCCCTCTTTCCTAGGCTCCAATCTTGAGGTATTTCCAAAACCAGGTTTGGCAACCATATGGCCTAGTAATGGGACACAAGTTAGAAATTGTATGATGAACATCTTTCAATCCTGTCAGTGCACCTCTGCATTTGTATGTACACTTCATTTGGAAATGTCAAAAGTCTAAATTTTAGGCCCTCTGTGAACATGAAGCTCTAGACAAATGACCTTCCTGTTCCCCCTGCCGTGATCCCATCGCATAACAGATTAGTTCTCACTGAAGAGATCCTAACTGTGCACTTTTTTCTACTGCTTTTTGTTGTTGTTCAGTCACACAGTCTATTCCAATTCTTCGCGACCCCATGGACCACATCACACCAGGCCCTCCTGTCTTCTGTCGTGCTCCAGAGTTTACATAACTTCATGTTAAGAGAGCCAGTTTGGTGTAGTGCTTAAGTGCGCGGACTCTAATCTGGGAGAACCAGGTTTGATTCCCCACTCCTCCACTTGCAGCTG